GCAGTCTTTTCAACTCACTGCCTCTCAACTCCGATACACCCTGCATTCTCGTCACCCTAATCCCACAGTTTACACTTTACAGCATGGCAGAATTCCTTGAGCTCCAACCTCCCTTGCCCTCGCGCACAAAAAGAGCTGCTTTCCTTCCCATCATGGTCAGTAGCTCTTTGATCACCTCAGCCATTGGGGCAGGGTTTTCGGGAGAAGCCTTGGGTCACTCTCTATAGGCAGTTAGAGATCTCAACGCCAAACTTGAGGGAGCCCTGACATCCACTGCCGATTCTCTAGCCTCTCTCCAAAGACAGGTCACTTCGCTAGCTAAAGTCACCCTTCAAAACCGGCGGGCCCTAGATCTGCTTACAGCCGAGAAGGGCGGCACCTGCGTCTTCCTCTGGGAAGAGTGCTGCTATTACATCAACGAATCTGGCATTGTAGAAACTGACATTACCAAACTCACCGACCTTGCCTCCAGTCTCCACTCTGCTTCCAATTCCAACCCATTCTCGTCAATACTAACAAACCCCCTCCTCACCTGGCTCTGGCCCATTGCAGGCCCCATAATAATCATTCTTCTCGCCTGTCTCTTCTTACCCTGTATAATAAAGTTCATCAAATCCCAAGTCGGAAAAATCTCTAATCAAGCTTTCAACCAGCTTTTACTCAGGAACTACCAGCTTCTGGCCACAGAAGATCCCTCACCCTCACGTGACCTCCTCACCACACGCTGAGATGGACCCCTCTCTCCACTGGAAACTGTTCCTGGAAACAATGGCCGCAGACGCCTGGCTCCTGACACCCATATCCTCTTGGCACCATTGGAATCAACAGGTCCTCAACCTATGGTTACAGGGAACCTTCATTGATTTCCAACCTGAAGAAGTCCACATCTACTCATCCTTACTGTGGGGAGTCCTATCAACCCTTTCCTCCCAATCCTCAAGCCCTCACTCCCTTCTCCGCCCCTGTTCAGCAGGAAGCAGCCAGAGAGAAAGCAACGTCCACAAACCCATAGAGGAGAAAGGGGGGAATGAAGGGTCCCCACCAGTAAGATGGCAAACTTCCGGCTTCTCTTCGGGGTCCTCAGTTCCCGCCGGCGCCACCTGAAGCCCAATCACCTCTCGCCCCCCTCCCAATCCCAGCACCTAGCCAACAGCCACCAGCCCCGTAGAAGTGACACCTCAATCAATTCATGCCCCTTCCTATATAACCCAGCACCTTTCCCTAATAAAGCGGAACTCTCCGGTGAATTGCTGCTATGTGTCGCTCCTTTCCTTTCACTAATTATTCACACTAAAACCTTTGCAATCTGGGCTTGATTTTCTTTTCTTTTATTGCAGCCGCATTACATAACCTCATTTTTCTAAACTAGCCAAGTTCTCTGGCCTCTCAGATACTACCCATGACATCTTTGTTATGGAAAACACCTTTCCTCTTCTTCAAAGGTGTCACACCTGTTAAAAAAAATCAGCCTTGGGAATTTGATCCAACTGGCTTTACTGAGCAATTCACGAACCAGGCAGCATCCCATCTACCAAGAAGAGAGACGCTCGAGAGGTGTACAAAATGAAAGGTTTTTATAGGCAGGAGGGTGGGGCAGGGATGTTATTAGCAAAAGAAAGAAAGGATTGTTTCAGGCCAGGACACCTCCTTCAGCAGGGTATTTATCATGCAGGTTCCATCACTAGTAAAATCTGTAAATTTTAGACTGTGAAAAGATCACATTCCTTGGATAGGTTGAAACTGTAATTAAGTTTTTGCTGTGATGTGGGATGAATGATTCCATTTTGGGCTTGTTTTTTTTTTTAACAACTGATAATTTATTAAAAAGGTTGATTTAAGCATCTTCAGTGGTAACACTTTAATCTCAACTCCTGTCTCAATACTGATTGAAGTAACTTTTTTTAACAATCTCAGAAGAACTGGGTTGCTTGTGGATTCTCATCTGGAAATGATCCCAAGTCTTAGAACCTTAGAGCAAGGAATTTTTCTTGCAGTGATTCTCGAGGTCTTGGTAGGCACCCCAACTTGTCCTTTCACTTTGAAATTCTTTTCCTTTGCACCCCTGATCAAGTCAGCATATCCCTTCTCCAAAGATTTTACAGTGTGCTGGTTAGTGTAATTCTAATTCGGTGAATTGCCACCTCTGGTTTCATGGGCGTCTTCCCAAAATCTCCAAAAGCCATGGCTGCGGCATCCTGACCGACTTGTTCCTGGGAGAGAGAGAACAGCAGGGAGTCAAGAGCAGGAGTGGGGAACAGAGCTCCCCGCAGCTGCTACAAATCTGGATTTGCGTGCCCCATGTGTAGTAAGCCAATCTCTGAGTCCCTGGGTTTGAAGCAGAGAAAGCTTTATTATCTATTAACAATAAGTAATAATTGGGCAGCCCAATGATAAGACAGGGGAGCTTTCTCAGATCTCTTCCCCAGTCAGCTGAGGGATGGATTGTATACTATTGGCAAAGGAATGTGGGGTTAGCACAGAAGCTGGAAGGGCCTTGAAACTTCTTGGAATTATGTGCCAACCCCATCTTCCTGGCACCACCTTAGGGGTCTTGGCATGGTTCATGATTCCATGTCTGGTATCTGCTCTGCAACATAAATGTTATCAGCCAACATCCCCTCCAGTCCTGTAACCAATTTCAGAAAAGGGAACAAAGGACAAGGTTAATGATTCTTGCAAGGTCATGCAGTGGGTAACGTTGCTATGGAAGAAGAGCCAAGTGAAGGTTCAAACAGATACGGAGTACGTAGTCTGTTCTGCATGACCCCAATGTTCCCTATTTCACAACCACATTTTAATGCTTTACTTCTCTGTTTCTTTCGTGAGACTGACTTAAGAGCAAGAGGATTGTTGCTTTCATTTCTACATCCTCTGATGGAGCTCAAGAAATGTCCAGTAAATGTGAGAAGGGAGAAGATAAGAAGAAAGGAGAACCTGGATTTTGCCTCCAGTAAAATGAATCTCATCAAAAGCTAAGGTTACTAGCAACCACACAATTACTAAATGCAATGGACACACTTTTGCTAATCTGGACATCCCCTTCTACTAGAGTCTTCTTTGTCTATCCAATGGATCTTTTTTCTTTTCCTTTTCAGAATCCCTTTCTTCTTGTAGCTCTGGGGGAGGGGGTATCCCGCTCAGGGCAAGTTTCATGAATTTGATGAGATGAAAGAAAAGCAAGGGAAAGACATTGGAATTAAAGGGTTTATTCTCATGGCTCGGTCTCTCCTTGTACCAGCAGCTCTCGTGGCTCCACCCCATTTGCATGGCTCTGAACTCTAGTTGCCCTGCTCTTTCTCTGCCTTCCCACCCAAAACTCTCCCACGGCTCCCAGGCTCACGGCTCCCAAGCTCTCTCTCTCCCTCTCTGCTCTCAGCTCTCTTCCCACACCAGGAAGCACCCTGCAGGTGGGTCTCTGGTGACTGGAGGAAGCCTGACCACTTACATATCAGGAACTAAGAAGAGGAGAGAATGGGTGTTTCCTCTCCACCCCTTCCCTGGAACGGCAATCCCCTGACTGACCAGCCACTTGGTCCCCAGCAAAACATCCCATAGATGTGCAAATAACCTACAGTGGGCACCATTAAGGCCAGGTGGGAATCCTGGTCAGAAAGTTCCATTTTCCCCACACTTCTACTTGCTTATTCGCCCACCCCCATTGTTCTGGGTTCCCAGTTCTTTTAGTCACTTTGGACTCAGGAAACTTCTAAGCTGAAGCCTACTCAGATACCTGCAGTGTTGTACTACCCCCTACTGGAACAGAGGGCAGCCAGCAACAGTAGGGGGGTGGAAATAGGTCTTGTTATTCTCAGCTGGCCAACACCTCAAACACTTAAGCAGCAGCCCTTTTCAAGACTCACAAAAGGAGGCAGGGTCTGAGCAAAGCCACCCACAGTTTACGTCACTTCCTTCCCTTCCTGTTGCCTCATTTGACACAGCCTCCTCCCCCCTCCTTCCTTTTTATGATTTCCTATTAAGATCTCCCCTCCTAAACTCCACTTCAACCTTGGTCACTCTATTTCTGTCTCCTCTTTTACTGCAAAGATTCACTGTAGCCCACACTGGGGGAAGAGTGAAGACTGGGGTTGTTTGGAGCTGACGCATGACCTTAGGCAAGTCTGCCTTAGAGTTTCGGTCACAGAATGAGGGTGATAATGCCTGTGCCCTACCTGCCTCACAGGGCTCTGATGTCATCACATGAATGGGGTGTTCATATGCCATTTCTGGCATTTAGATGACTCAGTTTCCTCACTCTAATCCTCTGGGGAGGGTGACTCTTTCCATCACGGGAGTTCACAGATGGAGAAGAGCAGCGTTTTTATTGGTCACTTCTATGCTGAGAATCAGAAATGTCCCCAATTTGGAAATAGTTACATATATGCTGTGTTGGGGACTACAGCTTGCCTAGTGGGTCCCCAAAGTGCTCTGGGTAGGCAGATAATATACGTACATTCACGATGGATGGCCTGAAATTTCTTAAGAGGCCACAAGGCTGGGGAATCCATTCTCAGAGGCCAAGAAATCTTGCTTTTCTATTGTTCAGTGAATAGTAGTGAATAGGCCAATGTAAACATCCCAACAGTGAATTTTAGGTAAGGGAGGAAGAGCCAGGGTGGGCTCAGTGGGTGGGAGAGGGAGCACAGAGGCTGGGCAGGTAGATTTCCCAACGCTTCTGCTCTGAGTGAGACTCACTCACATGTGACCTACTCCTCCCATGACTGAGTTGGCTCAGACCAGAAATCCCCTGTGGTCTTGGGAGGGGTACCTGCTAATTTTAGCCTCTGGGTTAATCAGGGTGATTACTACCTGGGAAACCAGAAGAAGATGATCTCTATCAGGCACTTTTAATCTTTTCTGAGCAATGACCCCGCTGAGAATCCAACAGAACCTGTGGATCTTCTCCCCAGGAAACTGAACAAAATCATTCCTTCCATCTCTGTGGTGTCCTCAGATTAACAAATCTACTGGGCTTCCTGTTTTCCGGTGTCGGTCCCCGCCCATGGTTGCTGACTGGTGACACACTATCAGTGGGTGTTTTCCTCTAAGCCTGGGCCATGAATTTGAGCGCGCTGGGGTCCTCAGTGCCTGCCTAGCCTGGCTCTGGCAAGTCTCCAGCATTCCTGAGCAGCTCGGAGAGTAGCATGTGTTCCAAAAGGTGTGATGAGCGCCTGGCTCTGAAATTTCTACTGCAGCTTCACTTGTTCCTGGCAACGAGCACTCAAGGTACTTTCCACAAACTGTCTGCTTATCACTGTGACCCCACGGCCCAGTCAGGTGAAAACAGGGCTCCGGGTTGTGCGCAGCCCTGGAAGTGGAGCGTGTTCTCCAGGCAGGAGATGCTTCAATCCTGGTAGCAGAGCTGTGGTGAGTGGGGAGACTTCCTTAGCCTTGGAGAATCGGGCTCCATTTTTCCCAAAGAGACGTGAGAAAAAAAGGACCCTGGGTAGATGGAGAAGTAGGCCCCTTGGGTTTAGTCCCATGGTTTGTGGTCTGCGAGTTCTTTTGTGTATGTTTTTTGAATAAGAGGAACCCCCCCCTCCACTGATAGCTGCCATGGTTTATGCTCAGTTCACTGTGCTCCCTGGAGCATTCTTAGATAGCCCTGTCCTTGCAAGGAGTTGTGTCTGAGCAAAAGAAAATGACATTGTCATTGCTCCAAAGAGAGATGAAAACTGTAGGAAAGAAAGCTTGGAAAGGATTGTTCTGTCTAGGGTCACTGAACAAGAGAGAGCAGAGGTCTGAGGTGCCTCAACATTAAAGGAACCCAGACATCTGGTGGTTGAGAGGAAGGGTTCGGGCCTCTGCCATGGGCTTGTTCTGGCTCCTGTGTGCCCAGGGACTGAGCTAACTTCCCTTTGCTTGATGCAGATGCCTAACCCTCCAGCACCTGTCCTTTAGGCCAGCTGCAAAGAGGGAGTTAAGTTATTGCCTTTCTCCCTCTAATAAATACGTTTTTCACTTATGGCATTTTTCATGCTTACCACCAGGGGAGAAAAATAGGCAAAAAATGAAGAAACACAACATCTTAAAATTCTGATAGTATATAACTTTTAGGACTATGAGACAGTGATGCTTGGAGGAGACCCTGCTAACTGCTCCCTTAGGGCCTCTCAAGGTGGCGATGCTTTGGATCGGGCTGATGACTCTAAGTCTGGAGACGTGAAATCTTCAGGGCACTAGTAACTGTATGAGCTCTGTGGGGCTGACTCAACTCACAGGACACTGATTCGGCCTTGGGAGTAGGCACGGACATGAACCATTCATCCCACTGTTGGGGAAGCTAGAGCTGACAAGATAACTGGAATATTTCAGGACTCTGTAGACATGAGCTCAATGTATCTAAATCGCTTTGTGCATAGATTCTGCCTACAGGTGGTCATTTTATCCCCAGATTCTGACTTCCTCCCTATTAACCACATTCCGACTAAACTTAAATTTCCTGTTCGCCTTGAAGGAGGTGTTTTCCCTCTTCCCTCGAAGTCTCTGTACTTACCTTTTCTCCTGCTTAGAATTCCCTGTACCTTCCCCTCACCTTGGCCTTTCTTAGGCTTCTGTTTTCATGGGACTTCCTCCTGGAGATCTCAGGCTCCAAATGATGGTTGCTGAATTGCTTGCCTGATTATTTCCTTCCTTGAGCTCCTTGAGGACAGAGACCGTGTGCAGTGTGCTTAGCACAACGAACTTAGCACTGTGTCTGGAACGTAGTCTGGGCTCAGTAAGTAATTGTTGAATATATGAATGGATGACTTCACAGAACTTCCTTTCAGGCAGTACATCCAGATCTTCCCAGACGTATAGTAGTTCTCTATTCCCCAGAAAGGGATACTATTGTGTAAAAATTTGAGAAGCACATTTACATTGTTTTTTTTAATTGAAGTATCATTGATACACAATCTTGTATTGGTTTCAAGTATATAACACAGTGGTTCAGCAGTTACCGGTATTATTAAATCCTCATCCCCACTAGTGTGGTTACCATCTATCAACATAGCAACATGCTACAGACGCTTTGGTTGCTCCCATACTTTGGCTATAGTAAATAATGTGGTAATAAACATAGGGGTGCATATATCTTTTCAAATCAGGGATTTTGTTTTCTTCAGGTAAATTCCTAGAAGTGGAATTACTGGGTCATATGATGGTTCTATTTTTAGTTTTTTTTTTTATTAAAGTATCATTGATATACAATTTTTAAATTAAGGTATTATTAATATATACTCTTATGAAGGTTTCACATGAAAAAACAATGTGGTTACTACATTTACCCATTTGTCAAGTCCCCATCCATACCCCGATGCAGTCACTGTCCATCAGTGTAGTAAGATGCCACAAATGCACTATTTGCCTTCTCCGTACTACACTGTCTTCCCCGTGACCCCCCACACTATGTATACTAAACATAATACCCCTCAATCCCCTTCTCCCTCCCTCCACACCTGCCCTCCCACGCCCTTCCCCTTTGGTAACCGCTAGTCCCTTCTTGGAGTCTGTGAGTCTGCTGCTGTTTTGTTCCTTCAGTTTTGCTTTGTTGTTACACTCCACAAATAAGGGAAATCATTTGGCACTTCTCTTTCTCCACCTGGCTTATTTCACTGAGCATAATACCCTTCAGCTCCATCCATGTTGTTGCAAATGGTAGGATTTGTTTCTTTCTCATGGCTGAATAGTATTCTATTGTGTATATGTACGCCTTCTTTACCCATTCATCTACTGATGGACACAGGTTGCTTCCATATCTTGGCTATTGTAAATAGTGCTGCAGTAAACATAGGGGTGCATGTCTGTTTGAATCTGAGAACTTGTATTCTTTGGGTAAATTCCAAGGAGTGGGATTCCTGGGTCAAATGGTATTTCTTAATTTTAGTTTTTTGAGGATCCTCCATATTGCTTTCCACAATGGTTGAATTAGCTTACATTCCCACCAGCAGTGTAGGAGGGTTCCCCTTTCTCCACATCCTCGCCAGCATTTGTTGTTCTTGGTCTTTTTGATGCTGGCCATCCTTACTGGTGTGAGGTGATATCTCACTGTGGTTTTAATTTGCATTTCCCTGATGATTAGTGATGTGGAGCATCTTTTCATGTGTCTGTTGGTCATCTGAATTTCTTCTCTGGAGAATTATCTGTTCATATCCTCCACCCATTTTTTTTTTTGATAGGGCATCTCTCATATTCATTGATCAAATGGTTGTTAACAACAATAAAATTCTGTATAGGGGGGTCAATGCTCAATGCACAATCATAAATCCATCCCAAGCCTAATTCTCGTCAGTCTCCAATCTTCTGAAGCATAACGAACAAGTTCTTA